CCGTTCTGGATTGATTACCTTGCTGTAGAATTCAGCAATTTTCGGAAACTCATTATTAACAGTTTCATGTGTACTATTGTGTGGATCTCGGTAATTAACGCTGTAGTCTTCCATTCTAACATCTTCGAAAGATTCCACATCAGTCATGGAGTTTGTGGCCTCCCCGCACATTTCATTCGTTGAAATTTTATCGTTTGCTTTAATCGTTGTGGTGCTTTGGAGCTGTTTGAAGATTTGCTGTTTGTGTTTGCTGTTAAGTTTTTGAAAATCTCCCATATCTATCAGCCAGTGTCCCCCTTTCTGTTTTCCAAAACGTGACTGCAGCTTTGCACATATCGTCCCTTGGGCTAATCTAGCCCTTATACCCATTCGGTGGAGCATGGTTTTGAAGGCTGATCCAGTCATGTGCTGGAAATCTGTTTTAACGTCCGCCAGTGCCACGTATTGATTTCCATCAATTTCAAACAGATCTCTGTCCAGAATTTTGGTAGGTTCTAAATAAAAATATTCTGGTTACATGTATAAAAAGGAAACTGGTTGCAAGAAAACTGATTACAAGAAAACTGATTACAAAATGCAATCGTGTTGAAAAAATCTTGTTGCAAAAGTATATGTTTCGACCATCAATCTGTGAGAAAACATCCTTTCTATTGTAAATAATCAACGATAAGGAAACAACTTGCCATGAAAATTTGAATCCATGTCGTTCTTCGACGAGTGACAATTGTTTGATCCTGCAGGAAAAATATGCTGATTCAATAAAAGGAAATTATGATGTTTTGCTACAAATACTGTTTTCTACACTATCACCCCTTCTCTGTTTTAAATTCAGCGTTTAAAAAATAATTTTTAGCGCGCAAATTTTTCTTTGTCCTGAGAACAATACGGCTAAGGAGGTGGGTACCTATCTGGCAAGAGGGGGTTCATTTCGAGGGAAGGGTTATTCGGAGAAGGTATCTTTTTCACAGGTGAGGATCTCAAGCAATTAAGAATTCACGGTAAGAGCTACTTCCTCAAAGTATTGTTTCGTGTTTTGATGTTTTCGTTTGTTCTTATTCGAATCACGTCATAACTGTCAACCATCGAACGAACTGTTAGTCGCACGTGGAGTTGACTTCGAGCAGCTTCTCTTCGACCCGTCGATTCGTCGATATTGCTTGGTATCCAAATATATTGAAAATGGAAGATATTGCAGAAACGGTCCTAGTTTTTCAAAGGATTTTGGCCAATTTGGTCGAAATCCAGCGGATTCCGGTGGCCGAGGAGCTGATGTCTGAAATTCTCGGGATATCTCTGGAGACCGAAAATAAATTGCAAGAGGTGTGTCGTCGTGTTGGTAAGTAATTCCTCATCTTTCATATGTTTTAATGTAGCTGTTCATATGTAAATGCAGATTATCAATTGCTTATGTCACAAAAGAACTATAACCAAAAGTATACATGGAGAAAGCAACCCCCTCCCTTTACAGGCCTATTTTCACTTTCATTTTTAATGTCCAATAAACTGTAGCATTCGAAATTTTCGTTTTCTCAAACGATGCAAAAAGCGGCAGTTTGCCCAGTAAGTGTGCCCAGTAAGTGTTCTCAATACTTTTTCAAAGTTATATGAAAAAGTCTTAAAAAATCAATTGGTCAAACATTTAGATTACCCGCTTTCAGTACTGGTCGCATGCATCTGGTTACAGCTACAACACAAGCTGGAAGACAACTGGTTACATGATGTAACCAGATAAAAAAATTATCTATTTAAACGATCTGGTTTGAACGAGAGCTAGCCTTATTGAACTCGTTTCATATTATTGACTACCCTGGGTACCAGACTCACTATATATGAAATAAAATAGAGAGTCTGGTCTAGTGCGCCCCATTCTCGTTCTGGTGTGCTTATATTAACCAATCAGGAGCGAGTGTACAGATTTCTGTACGTTCAAAGGTCACAGCGAAACAATAAACTTAGCTCTGGTGTAAAACATTGAACAGAACACAACATAAATAAATGCTAGCGACTGTAACGATTTAGTTTGAAGATGCTGTTAAAACTGTACTCAAAGAATATTTTCCGCATGTTGTGGAACTTAACACAGAACAACATTGAAAGCCTTGTTTGTAGAGAGAAGAGACACCTTCGCCATGTTGCCAACTGACTTTGGAAAGTCTCTGATATTTCAGGCAGTGCCTCTCATTGCAAAGAAATTAGGCCTTGTAGTGAAATGCAGTAAATAAGAAACACCGCAAGGCGCCGAGAACAAACAACAACAAACACAAGTAAATCAGTTATGGCTAATATTTTCCCCGGCATACGGGGCTTCGCTTGTCATATTGGCCATATTTGCTGTGGCGAACTTCCAACGTGATGATTCTAACCGCCGCGGTGTCCAAGCGCGCTGCCTTCACAGTGAGGAAGTAGACTGAAAGTACACTTAATTTATGTGGAAAATTACAAAAGTCTTATTTTAAGTTGTATGCTAAATTTAACAATGATTAACATTTAGTAACTGCATTGTGCTAACTTTAATTTCATGCTTCGCATATGCTTTTTGCTGCCAAGGCGTTTTACACCTGATTTGATTGGAATCTTGAGGCAGAAAAGTCTGTTATCACTGTATTAATAATGTCAACTTTACAGAACTATATAAAATACATTGGCTTTAAGATTTCCCAAAACTCCTCCGACTACTGAGTATCTTTGTTATTTATCCGACAGTCTTGTTTCACAGGCCTAGTCTGTTAAATAGACTTCAGTTCTTTCAAGTAAGTTCACCCGAACCAGAATGGGGCGCACTAGACCAGACTCTCTATTATTTTATATAGTGAGTCTGGTACCCAGGGTAATTATTGACACTCTTTCATAAAACTCAATTCTGGTTGCATGCATCTGGTTACATCGACAAAACAGACTGGAAGACAACTGGTTACATGATGTAACCAGATAAAAAAATTATCTATTTAAACGATCTGGTTTGAACGAGAGCTAGCCTTATTGAAACTCGTTTTATATTATTGACACTCTTTCATAAAACTCAATTCTGGTTGCATGCATCTGGTTGCATGCATCTGGTTACATCGACAAAATAGACTGGAAGACAGCTGGTTACATGATGTAACCAGATAAAAAAATTATCTATTTAAACAATCTGGTTTGAACGAGAGCTAGCCTTATTGAAACTCGTTTTATATTATTGACACTCTTTCATAAAACTCAATTCTGATTGCATGCATTTGGTTACATCGACAAAAAAGGCTGGAAGACAACTGGTTACATGATGTAACCAGATAAAAAAAATATCTATTTAAACAATCTGGTTTGAACGAGAGCTAGCCTTATTGAAACTCGTTTTATATTATTGACACTCTTTCATAAAACTCAATTCTGGTTGCATGCATCTGGTTACATCGACAAAAAAGGCTGGAAGACAACTGGTTACATGATGTAACCAGATAAAAAAATTATCTGTTTAAACAATCTGGTTTCAACGGGAGCTAGCCCTAGTCAAACTAGTTACATTAAAGCGCAATTCTGGCTAAATGTTTCTAATATGACAGAGGAAACTGGTTACAAGACAACTGGTTTCATGATGAAACCAGATAGAATTTTATGCATAACAAGTTTAAACATTAAAACCAAATGGACTGGACCCACCCCCCCCCCACCCGGGCTGCGAATGCAGCAAACTACAAGCAGACCTTCCCTTTATGGAACGCGGCACCCCCCCCTCGTCCCTTATCACGAGAGACGCTGCCAAAAAGAAGATTCTAAAATTTTGACCTAACTCTGGCAATAGTTTTACCCTAATTTTGTGAAACAAGTTTAAGATGTAACCAGATATAAGCAATCTCGCTACGCGCATCAAACTACGTAAAATAAATGGAAAACCAGGTTAGAGAAATTCAGTTTAGAAATTTGGTCACACCCGAACCAAGCCCCAATGAAGCTTTTCTTATAAAAACGCAATTCGGGTTATATGCATCTGGTTACATTGACAAAACAGGCTGGAAGACAATTGGTTACATGATGTAACCAAATAGAAAAACCATCTGGTTATAACGCTCTGCTTTCAACGGGAACTAGCCTTATAGAAACTCGTTTAATATTATTGACACTCTTTCATAAAACTCAATTCTGGTTGCATGCATCTGGTTACATCGACAAAACAGGCTGGAAGACAACTGGTTACATGATGTAACCAGATAAAAAAGTCATCTGGTTTCAACGGGAGCTAGCCCTAGTCAAACTAGTTACATTAAAGCGCAATTCTGGCTAAATGTTTCTAATATCATAGAGGAAACTGGTAACAAGACAACTGATGATGAAACCAGATAGAATTTTATGCATAACAAGTTTAAACATCAAATACAAGGTGTATATTAAAATGTATCTGTTGTCAAGTTCTAAAGATTTGCATTTGTTCAAAAGAATTCTGGTGAATTGCGTTGCCGTTGCCGGTGAAATTGATTGCAAAAAATATAAACAGTAGGAACTATTGAAGTTTTTGATAATCTGGAAATAAACTCACCTGATGAATAGATAAACCAATTTTATTGTCTCACCTCAGCTGACGAGGATTGAATTAATGATTTGGTTCGCGTTTATTCGTGAACTGTACAATATACTTTCTGGTTCTTATATCCACGTTGGAGACTTTGTATCAACATCTGCTTTTATTTCATCAATCGAAAATTGGAACTACACTTCAGCAAATTCACAGTAATTCTGAAACGTTAGTTGGAACACACTCTTATATAACAAATAGTCAACATAGCTATGGTTATCAAAATAAACAAACAAATTGTAGTTAGAATTGAGAATACTATCAAAAGAAACAGTTTTAGTAAATTTAATACACGGATTATTTCCTATGGCTATCAAAATAAACAAACAAACTGTAGTTAGAATTGGGAATACAATCAAAAGAAACAGTTTTAGTAAATTTATCACACGGATTATTTCCTATGGCTATCGAAATAAACAAACAAACTGTAGTTAGAATTGGGAATACAATCAAAGGAAACAGTTTTAGCAAATTTCATACACACAAAATTTCCCACAGCATAAAACAAAAGAGCTGTTAAATGCATTCTTGTTAACTTATGTCGTGTGAGTCAGTAACAGATATGCGCAGTGACATAGGCGTTCGCAGTTACAGCAAACTTACACAGCATGCACTTTATAAGTTATAGTCATAAACCCTTATGGATGAAGTTTTAAATACAGAGTTTCAAAAGTAATTGCGATTTTGACATTTCCATTCGGACACTCGTACCCTCGGACCCCTATGACCCCTAGTCTCCCTCTTCCATCTTCATTACCTATCCTTGCAAATATTCAATCTTAGGGCAGATAATATATGGCATGATAACTAAGTTTTTCAACTTCTTTCATTAGAAATTTTGTGATTAGTTTGTTTTCACACTGTTTCAGAAAATCTCTTAAGACCAAGGAATGAACGTTGAACTATTTACTTTAAAGTTTATTTTGCAAAGTATTTCTCCTCATTTTGGAAGGTATTTCTCGTTATACTGCAAAGCTCTCTGGCTTTGCCACTGCATACTTTTAAATTGACATTCATCCATGCTAGCAAACATGTCGATAGTCTATTTTCTTTGCATTTTCTCACTCAAATAACTGTCTTGTCAGTTGCAATACAAACAGCAGCATTATTTGTTTCCTTCTATAATGCTTAACTTTTCTCAACTGGATGTGAGTCTCTAGTTTTTGGCTCTCTTTCCTTATTTGAGGCTGCTTAGCCCCTGTTATAACGAGATTCGCTCCATATTATACAATTGCTCTCTTAACAAATAGCTTTGAAGTAGTTGTTGCGTCGAGTGCTTACTTTCCAAGCAGTTCTGTCAAATGTTCTTGAGTAGTTTTGACAAAGTGTCTTTTTAATGTAAATCTTAAATTTTTTATTTTCTTCAATAGATTTCCCCTACAGATTTCAAGAGGAACCTCGTATTCGATACAATGGTAAGAGCCAACATTTTTATAAGACTTTAAAGAGTTTAAGATTACTCACATCTCCAGAAAGAGTAACCAAATATTTAAATTTTTTACATGCAATATGCACATCAATGGTATTGTAACAACTCGGGAGCGTTTCAAAGACATCGAAACTTATATTAAGTACATTCTGTTTTCCAAGTAATAGTCATTTATAGAGCGTTAGAGATTGCAGATTTCCGTTAACAGAATGTAGGATAATCAATCATAACTATTTATAACTGGCCCCAAGACCCAGGGGATAGAGCAATTGTTGTGAAAGCAATTAGATATACTGAAACCGTTATGATAGTTTTTGTACTAAGCTTTTATCCTGAATGTTCACAGCAGTTAGCATAAGCAAAGGAAACAGCACTCCGTTTAAATACAGGCAACGAAATATGTTTTTTTTCTCTTGATGGAGTTTGATAAAATTAGAATTCTAAATCGAGTGATCATTTGAAAATTTTCTTGAAAACGTTTAAGAATGATGATCCGCAAATAAATGATGCTGTTAAAATGTGTTTGTATATGGGATTCTACTTACTATTGCTGCGAAACTAGCCCTTATTCTTTCGCCTAGAGAATTCTAACTCAACCGAGGTAAGATCACTATGGTATATAAACTTTTCGTACGATTAATAATTTCACTTCAGATAATGGAGGCAATGTTTCAGTCTACTCGAAAGAAAATGTTTATAATAAGTATCTCATTCTGAAGCTAAATATACAGCTTCCAGCAATTTAAAAACTACTTTACAAAATACTTGTTCATTTGTATCTAAAGAGGGCCCATAGCTGAAGCTCTATTTATAAATTGGCTTTTTGAATGTATTTGATTTGTTTTTTCTTCTATTTTAGTTTCTTTGCCAGGTCCTGAAAGGAAGAAGAAGCGTGCAGAAACATCTGCTGCACAAGGTGAGTATAGGGCCGTCTATGAACAAGGTGAGTCATCCACTTCCATAGAGGGTCCTAGTAATGCTGAAGATGTAGCTACTTTGGGTGAAATTTCTCTTGATGTTGATTTGCAGGAGGAGCTCGAAGTCACACAGACTGAGGGCCTCATTAATAGTTTTACTCTTGATGAGAGCAGTCAGGATGTTGGATCAGAGCAACTGCTTGCAAATCTGCAGATTGAGGGATCCATTCAAAGTGCTTCATCTGAAGCTTCGTTTCCTGCTACGCAATCAGGCTGCAAGGGGGCGCGCTCAGCTTTCATTGGGCATCATTCCAGCAACCAATCTAGGTATGAGGATTTGTTGACGCATTCAGCATTTCCTGATGGTGATTGCAAGCACGTGCGAACATTTGTTGGCAATAACAGTTCATATGTACTGCCTCCTCCTTCTTCTAAGGACAATATTTTTCAATTGGACCTACCATACTATGGGTGTGCGGATGTCGTCCTGATTCCGGAAGGGATTGACCTCTCCAATCACTCATGGGATGAAGAAAACAACGCCGAGTTGGACGTGCTCATAGCTGCGTTGAACTATTCCCATGCTGTCCGAAATAGGATCTTTTGGCAAGTGGGTAGGTTTCTTGTGCACTCATCCTCCTGTTTGGGAACGTCCAGAGATGAAGTTGCACTTCGCTTAGGCAAAAGGGTGTTTCAGAAGAGGCAAGAGGAGTACGAGCAATTGTTGCGTTCCTGTGGCTGCAACATGTGCTTACGGGCTGTTCCGGGACCTCACTCTCGAGGCAATCATTGCTGTCAGGTAGACTCACGTGCACGCCTCATCAACATTAGGTATGCGAATACGAGCACTCGCTCTTTGCAGCGCATGCTTAGGTTGGCGGAGGGACTTGGACCTACCCCTGATTTGCTGCGCTTTTTTAACGTAACTTTGCCTATAGGTTTTTTTGCGACAGCAGTGGAGGACTGCCTCCCTGCTTGTCTCAAAAACATAGCTATTGGGTCCTTCTTGGATGTCCCCAGCTATTTATTGTATGACTTCCCATTGGTAGAAGACGGTCGGTGGGTAAAAGTTCCACTTGATGTGTGCTTCTTTCCAGATGCGGATGGCATAACCATAGATAGGTACGAGAGAAACGATTTTGTTGCTGTGTTTAGCGCTCCATCTGTGCGGTTTCGACTTGAGGGACTGGATGCTCCCGAAATGGATACGTCTGTCAAGTATACGGAAGGAGCAAGTGGTCAGCATGATCTCTGTTGGGATTGTGTTGGGCATAACTCCTTGATACAACCTGGCCAAGACTCTCCTCAATATACCCG